ATATTTATGTGTATTTTTACAAATTAATTTTTCACCAATAGCTTATAGTACATTTATTCACTTATATTGAAAATCTTTTAGATCATTTCCAGTTTTGAATATTATAAACACTGCTCCTACAAACATCCGTGAGTTTTAATCTGATATATCTCCTTGGGCACTTCTACAAGGAGCTCATTCTAGGGAACAGAACTGACATCATAATTTTTAACTACATAGGGAACCATCAACTAAGCATTTAGTTAAGCCACAAAGTATAGAATAATACAATTACAAAAGCTACTGAATCACCAAAACCAAATAGATCAGAATTAAACCTTTTCTTAGTTCACAGGAACAAATTATGTGCCACATTACTGTGTGGTACAAAATAAAAATAAAGAAAACATAGTGTACTCAAAAGAAGAATAACAGGGCCTCAGATGTGCAAATACACCAGCAATCAAAATTCTGTAAATGGCATGAATACTGGTAGTTAAAAAGTATTACAGTAACATGGAAAAGCAAAGCTAGCTCGGCTTGCTTGTCAAGCTACATGCCTGGGATAGACAATAAGGAAACAGGCTGCTGAAGGAAGTTTCTGCTAATACCTCTCCACAGTTCCAAACATATATGTATCTCCTCCCTCCTGGCTCACAAGATCATGTGATTATGTGCTAAGATTAGAGAATACCCAGGAAATATAGTCTCAACTAAGTTTCAGAATAATGTCATGAGGTGGGTACTACCACCTCATTTTGTAAATGAAGGAGTTAAGGCTAAAGGAGATTAAATTTCTAGGAGTCATATTGTTGGCGAAAAAAAACACATCAAGATTCCTCTCATAGTATAATAAATGGAAATAAGCCAAAGTCACCCAAAGGGTTGTTTTTTATAAAGCAAATACCCAAAATAAACTTATTAGAATTAACATCAAAATATAATGAAATTAAGGAGTTATAATTATTACTCAACATCAGCTAGCAAAAGGCAACTCACTAACAGAAACACAGCTTCGGAACTTCATAGAAGGGCTCCGTGTTTGCATTTTAATAATTCAGATATCTACAGTGCTATTCATTTCTGGTGAAGTAAAATTAGTTAAACAATTCTTGCTATGGAAGACATTCTGGAAGCTGTTTTAAAACAAGAGGAACATAGGAACAAGTAATAAAAAAAAAGAATTCAGAACTCAAAGGCAGATGACAACAGAAGGATGGTTTCTGCAAAGATAGCACTCCAGTGGATTTACAAATGTTCTCTTTCAGCCATTCAAGTATTAAAAGAACTGTCAACAACCTTCAATGTTTCTTAGACCAGACAAACTAAGAACAAAGAGATCAAATATTAGCAACATTGAATTCTAAAACAAAGCAGTGTTTTCTTATGATGGCGATATAAACTACTTTGAGTACAGAACTTGATCTTTATCATAAATAAATTGAACAAGTATAGAGAAGTAAATTTTAAACTATACTTTAAAAATATGTTTCATGTAGAGTCTGTTCTGAGGCTGACCTCATAGAGTGATGCACAGTGAGTTACCCAGCAACAATGATTCACTGGATTCCTCTAAAATAAGGCTTCAGTTTCAATGAGAGTGACGTCCTAGTCAGAAAAAGGTAAGAAGAAGCCTACAGAAACAATTACTATAATTTCAAAATGAGGATGGGGTCAAGGGAAAAAAAAATTGCAAACAGTAAGAAAAAAATATCTGGAGATAATGAAAACAAACGTGGATTTCAGAAATATAAAAGCATGAATTTCACCTCAGGCACTTGGTAATGCAATAAAGGAGATGACTCTGGGAAAATAAACAATTTGTCTCTACAAAGCAGACCCTCTGAGAGGAAAGGTTTCTGGCATCTAGCAGCAAATCCTCTCCCCTTGTGAGAGAAGACTCTGAAGAGGCAAGCATCTGTCCAGAGAACACTGCCCTTCCTGGTACACAGGGAAAGGCCTTAGATCTCCATGCCTTAGAGTTTCACTTTTCACCCTTATCTTTTCACTCAGTTAATCAGACAGAGTTCATGGATACAAAACAACAAATGGACAATTTGTTAGCTCAGAAAGCATCTTTAACAAAACACAAAGTTTCAATGGTATCTATTAAGTTTATAAAGTAAACCTCAAGTTACTCAAGTAATTAAACCATACAGGGAAGATGGAAGGGTTACTGAATTCCTCAAGATAATTTCTTACTCAAGGGTATTTTAACAAGTTTTAATGAAGCTACCTGCTAATTCAAGACTTTATGTAAAATAGTTTTATATAGATTATTTACAGATTGGGAATTATGCAAGGGGTTATACATAAACCTGTTAAAAGCCCACCTTCTTTTCCTAGGATTAAGAACTTAAAAAAAAAAAAAAAAAAGTCTCACTTTCCATTCAGGGAAAACACTGAAATGTGTTCCTTGTGTTCCTGCTCATTTATTTTCTACAAAATCAAACTACTACTCTCTTTGGGTTCATGCAGTAAGTAAGTTGGAATATTTCCCCATATACTACATATAAAGAATCTAATGGAAGCAAACCATGTAATTTTTAAAAATTTCTTAAGGCACTGACTTTATGCTACATAAGCCCAGTAAATAACAGACAAGGTGTCTGACATTTAAAAAGACTGGAAACAAGAATCTGAACCACTGTTACTGAATTACTTTGTGATGCCTAGCCACTTAAAAACAGCAAAAGAGATTGTGTATCCTGTCAATACATAATTCTCAACTACTCTAAAACTCTTTTGATAAGTTTACCTGAACAAAGTGCTGAATCTCCTTGCTTGTGGTATCATTAAACTTACAATGGCTGCTTATCATTAAAAAAAAAAAAAAAAAAAAAAAAAAAGACTCTTCTAACAACAACAAGGCTCAAGGTAACCCTTGCACTAGTAATCATACATTTAGGAACAAAATTAATCTCGAAAATTTGAGATGACATTTGGAATCATCAAAAGCAAACTGCTGCTACCTAAAATTCAGAGACCACATTCCAACAAACACCAGAACAGAGTTGAGCCTTTCACATTTTGCACTAAAAATGCAATAGATTCAGACTTGTACAATGAGCCCTTGTGTTTTGTTGTTTCCTGATCTTTGCTCTGCCCTTTGTACACAAGAATCAGGTTTATATTCTGACTTTCCTTCTGTGGACCACAGGTTCAGTATTTGCCCATGCAGTCACAGGGTCTGCACAAACATCACATGATCAGTTACTATTCTTATTGAAGGGATTTGCTGTAACTTCTATAACTTCTGTTTTCATAATGCTTGTTTGGTGCATTTTCCACATAAGCATAGTATTAAAAAACAAAAAAAAACACCCTAGGCAGATTTAAAATAAACAGTAAACTACAGTTACACTTTATATTACTTTAAATTAAATGTGTAAGATAAATTAGACATTTAAAAAGGGTTTTCTGTTTCATTTTTTAAATAGGCAAGTGATAAGAACAAGGTCTGTGACCTTTACTTGTTATTAACAAAATAATAACTTCTGAAAATCACAAGTCAGCAAAACACTCTTCTGATGATCCTCTCATTTGCTGGGCTTGGAATACAAAAGGTAACATAAAAGTAGTGTTATATATAATAAAAGTATAAAATGTCTTCTAGGGTATGGGTTTAAAACTGCGTCCTCTTGTTGATTTCAGCGGATATGAATTATCTTTCCCCACAGAAATCACTGTCAGTTTCCTAAGTGAGATACAGTGGTCAAAAAGTTAAAAAACAAAAACAAAAACAAAAACAAAAACAAACAAACAAAAAAAAACTCCGCCAGTTTTGGTTCACAAGTATTGAGAGTGTAGAAAGATGCTACATTTATTAAATAAATTACATTAAATAGCTTTAAATTTTACTACATTATCTAAAACTGAGGGGGGGGGGACAGGAACACATCTAAAATGTAATTATGTTTTTCTGAATAGCCCCTAGGAGCTATAACTAGGACCCACTGAAAGTGTATGCACTAATTTAAGGTGTGGCCCCTCTACCTTCAAGTGATCCTGGAGTTAAGAGAGGAGTAAATATATATGCATGGACAGCCACAAAATAAGAGACGGATTAAAGAGCCAGCCTACCTTAAATCTTCCTAAAGACAGCCTTTGGGATTTGCAAACAGTTGTCAGTCAAACCAGAGTGTGAGACAACTTACTGCTACCCATTCCCTAAAATAAAAGGGTCATACTATACTGAGTGCTATCTTTGGAGATGAGAGGCCCAAAAGACTATTTGACTTTAATGGCTTCATTTAATCTAAGAAATGTATTTAAGAAAATCAGAATTCAATCTGTGATAGAACTAGAACTTAAATAAAGAAGCCATATTATCAATATTTCATTAAGAAAGTTTAGATATGATCTGGAGAGATGGTTCAGCAGTTTGGAGCCTTTTGGCTGCTCTTGCAGAATAGCTGTGTTGGATTCCCAGAAGCCACAGAGCAGCTTACAACTGTTTCAGGGGATCTGAAGCCCTCCTCTGGCCTCTAAAATCGTTACACACACACACACACACACACACACACGCACGCACGCACGCACGCACGCACACGCACACGCACACGCACACGCACACGCACACACACACACACGGGGCATAGACATACACATAGGCAAAATATATTCTTACAAAGATAAAGTTTAGGCACCTCACACCCAAGACAGTCTGTTTTATTCCCTTGATGAATGACTTTTAATTAGCAAGTCTGAAATTCTTCCTATGTGTTTCTGCACATGTATGTAGGGGCCATCAATATGAAATGTTCTGCTCCATGTTGTGAAGACAACTAACTACAATAGGAATATTTTACTCACACACACACACACACACACACACACAGAGAGAGAGAGAGAGAGAGAGAGAGAGAGAGAGAGAGAGAGAGAGAGAAATAGGTACCTGAAGATAGTTACTTGCACACTTCTACTACAACAAATCCATTGATTTCCTTGTTTTTCCACTGACTTCATAATGTTAGCCCCTGAGTTCATTAAAATCAATGTGAAAAATACTCTGTACTCACTCTGGCATTCTATGAATTGATGAATAAAAGTGCAGTCCCCGCCACTCTTTGAAAGCAAGTGCTCTAATAAAGAAAGAAAGACTTTTAAGGATATAGTTTGTTGTTGTCTTGAAATAAACAACAACAGCAAAGGTTAAAAAAAATGAAATATTTAACATACGTAACTGAAAAGGAGTAATAAAGTTGAATATATTTTAACACATATTTTGGAGTTAAAAACTGAAAACTGTAATTTATATAATAATCACTAATTTATTCTGAATGACTAGCTTTTAAAGGTACAGTCTTCATACAGAGAGCTGAAAAAAACAAACAAAACAAATATATTGCTTTAATGAGCTTTCTCCACTTTTCATATGTACCTTTCTCCATAAAAGGTTTTAAATTCTCTTAAGTGATTTTTGTGTTTTTACTATTGAATTAATTTCATGTTCTAAGAGTCTCTCTTCAAAGCTTTTGGTCTTAAAATGTAAAAGGTAAAAGCTTTTAAGAATATATAAAATCAGTCAGGCATGGAAGCATATGCCTGAAATTCCAGTCAGGAAGGTGAGGAAAGAGGGCTGTCATGAGCTGGAGACCAACATGGGCTACAAAGTGACTTTCAGAGAACTTGGGCTAAGATATGAGCCTTTTTTGGAAGGGAGGGAGAGAGGGAGGGAGGGAGGGAAGGAGGGAGGGACAGACGAACGAACGAACGAAGGGTAATAAGGTAGATATTTTTATACATTTTCACAAGCAGCTTCCCATTTAAGTACCTTAATCTATACCATATATACCACTACAACATTACATTGTTTACCTCCACCAAAATTATCGTGTTTTATACAGTTGAAAACAAGAGCTCCATAAATGGTTTTGCTTACATCAGAAATAATCCAATTTTGTTAAATGTAGAATTAAAAAGAGAAAATTAAAAGTTAACATAGTAAATAGTTCCAGACCTCTTCTTACAATAGTTTTTACTAATTCAAAGGTCAAAGGCTAACCTGTAAATCCAGATAACATTCTTCAGTTACATATCTGTGTCTTTAAAAACTACACAAAAGATTCTAGAAGGGTTAGTATTAAAAGTCTATGCTCTAACACAGTGACTACCAGGAAGGTCTAAAGGCACTCAGACCTAGAACAAGCACACCTCTTGCTCATCTCCACCTCAACCTACACACTTCTCTGTTGTCCTATATTTGTAGAATAGGCAGACATACTCTGTTATGACAGTGCCTCTTAACACCTTTCTTTCCATTGCCTTCTTAACCTTTCAAACTTTACTTTCCTTTATCTAGTTACACAGAACCCAAAGAGCCCATGCTATGACGAAAACAGAGGAAAAGATGAAACAACTTTTTTTAGAGATGAATAAAAAGAACAGTACAGACCAAAATTGGGGGTGGGAGGAATTAAAAGTTAACTAGAATTAAGGAAGTAATTTAAAAAAATAGAATTTGCCAACTGGAGCTAACAGAAACCCTCAGCAGATTAGAAAATATCAGGGTAAAAGTTGTTTTACATAAACTCTAAACCATAACACTTTCAAAACTCAAACTATACAATATCACATTAAATGTGAAAAGTGTTTGGATGGGTAAAGAAAATGTAGTTTATATTCATGACAGTGTTTTATGCAGTCATAAAGAATGAAATTAGATCATCTGAAGGAAAATGAAAGGAACTGAAGATGAGCGTGTTAAACAAGGTAAGCCAGACTCAGAAAGACAAATACCATAAATTTCTTTCATATGTAAAATCTAGATTTAAATGTATATATAACATATGTGCTATGAAAGTAGGAAGGGACTATATAGGGTGAGGACATAGCCTAAAAGGAGGAAGAGTATGAAAAGAAAATGAGAGGGGGAAAATGGCAAGTATAATTTAGCTTAAATTCACTTATTTATAAAAGCAAAAGGAACGGTTGAGGAAAGGAGGAAAATTAGTGAAGAAGGAAATAAGGAAAGGCAAACGTGCACAAAAATGTCATAAACCTTCATCTATGCTTACCAAAAACTTTAAAAACTTAACTTGGAACCAAACTTGAACATACCTAAAGAACTTTACGACACTTATCTGAAACCAAATTACAGACCTAAATATGAATCAATTTCTAATGATTCTTATTAAAAACAGGAAATCCCACTAGGTGGTCTAAATGAGAGTGGCCTCCATAGTCTCATATATTAGAATGTTTGGTTCCCAGCTAGTGGAACTGTTTTGGAAAGATTAGGAGGTGTGGCCTTGTTGGATAAGGTGTGTCACTTGGCGGTGAGCTTTAGGGTTTCAAAAGCCCAAGCCAGGCCCCGTCTCACACTCTCTTGGCATGCAACCTGCAGATCACATATGAGCTTTCTGCTACTTCTCTACACCATGCCTGCCTGTGCCATGCTTCCAACCATAATGACATAGACTCATCCTCTCCAACTGTAAATCCCAATTAAATGCTTTCTTTTATAGTTGTCCTATGGTCATGGTATCTCTCTACACAGCAATAGAACAGTAACCACAACACCTTTATCTACTCTAGTTTTATATGAGGAACCCACAAAGATCAGAGAAGAATGCTGGATCCCCTGAAGCTATAATTACAAGTGGTTGTGAGCAGCCATATTGGTTCTAGGAATCAAACCTGGATCCTGTGGCAGAGCAGTAAGTGCTCTTAACCATTTTCTATCTTTCCAATGCCCTATGTACTCTATTTTTAATATCTGAATCCAACCCTGAAAATATTTAGTAGAGTGGCTTGGATAAAGTCTGTTATCAAAGAAAAAAGGTAAATATGTATATGTCATGTCTACAAGAGCACCTTTTACATGCATTAAGACAACATTGTCACATCTAGATAATGCATTTCAAGCATGACACTTAATAGTCTATTACTTGAATTCAGGCCTTTAGAAATTAAGTTGACACAACTACAAATCATATTACTGGTAATCCAAAAGAATTCAGATGTTTATTGGAATGAAAACTAGTCTCTATGCTATTAGTTAAAGTTAAAGAAATGGGGAAAAAGAGGGAAACATGAAAACATAAAATAAAAAACCATTCCACTTAGAATGAATCCTTTATACAATGAGTTTCTATGAGTTACGGTTTTCTACATTACCCCTATTGTAGTTAGACTACTATAAGCATTAATTGCACATGCCACTAAGCCAGATAAATGTGGCTCATTCTAACAGAGATACGTGGCAAGAGTAAAATAAATACGATTCCAAATACCTACAAAGGAAAATTAATGTGAAATGCTTCCTTAGTAATGTTTAAATACTGGTTACATGTTTAAATAACAGTTTTTATATTATTGGTTAAATGAAATTTAGTATTAAAATGAGTTTTATTTGCTTCTTTTTAAACATTACTGTAATTACCAGAAAATTTTAAAATGTACAGTTGCTCTCATTATTACATTCTAATATATATTTAAATAACCCTTATTTTTAAAAGAAACAAAAATTTATAGTGCTTGTAAAAAGGTTATGTCATTTCTGAAAGAGTTCACTGGAAGAAGTATAAACAAAGATCTCTAGATACTCCTGACAATTTCTCTTTTACCTATACTTAATAGTTCTACTACTTAAAGGGTGATGTCAACTTAAAAGTTCATGAAAACTATGGCTATGGACTTTTGGTGATGTTTGGAAAGGTAAATTATCTTACTACAAAGTCCATTCCACAATAAAATGTGGCATAAAGAAATATTTGTATAAATGTAAAAACGTACTGTCAAAATGCCCTACTAGTCATTCTCATGCTATGTAATTTTTGTCAACAAAGATCCAACTGTTTTAACAATGGAATAATAACTATAGCAAGGATTTTCCCATAACAATATAAAAATTTTTATTTTAATATTAAATTAAGGAGTCGATGACTATTTGCTAATAGGAAAACAGTATGCTACTCTAAATTTTCTAGCAAAAGTTTTACAGTCATTTGAAAACTCTAGTTAAAAAATGGTTTGTATGTATATTAAGATACCTAACTGAGTTAATAAGAGTTCTCAGCTTGCATTAACATAACACTTGACATGTATTTAAGGAAAATATGGATTTCAACTAATATAAAAACCAAAATCCAAGCAAAATAATATGGAAAAATAAAAGCATTTAAGGAAAATGAGTCCTTAGAAGAGAAAGACTAACTCATTTAACAAAAATATGCTAAATACTTTTAATGAATAGCAACTAAAAGTTTTAGTAAAATTAATATGAATATAAACTACACCTTTAAATTTTCTCAGATTAAAAATCAAAACCTTGAATCTGAAGAACTTAAGGCATTTTACAAAACAAATAGCATAGTCAAATAGCAATGGGTAAGTTTTTTCTCAAGAAACTAAAATGTATAATATATGACCTTGGTCATATAGCTCACATATACACAATTATCTGGACCTGCTTTGGCAGTCACTATAAGAACTTTTCCCCCTTTTTGTAATGCTAGAATTGAATCCAAGGCATAAGCTAGGAAAACTCATGAAGCTACATCTCCAGCTCATCCATTTTTTATTTAAAACATAGCAAAAGAAAATACTTAATATGTGGAAAGCAGTTTCATTAGAAGTTCTATTTCTGACCTTGATACCTTAAACTAACTCCTGTATATTAAAGTGAGATGATAAACCATCAGTATGTGCTAAAAATGACTTTATTACCTTAGTACTCCAAACATGCAGTGTTAAGATTAAGTACAGTGTTACAGTTTGTACTCAGTGAATCTTAGAGGAAAGAGGCAAGGGGCCAAAAGTGTTCAGACTTCAGAACTATAAACTGCAGTAATTTAAAAGTGTCCCAATTGCTGGGTGTGGTGGCTCATATCTTTGATCCCAACACCTGTGGGGCAGAGGCAGGCAGACCTCTGTGAGTTCTCTGACTTGTATAGTTAGTTCTAGGCAAGCCAAAGTGACATAGTGAATGAAAACTCTGCATAGAAAAAGAAAAACAAAGAACAGGAAAACTAATACAGTAGCTGTAAATTTTTGGTCAACTAAGAACTGCGACCCAGAAAAAAAGGGCGAAAGAACCAAAACCTAACCAAAAGATTTTTCCGATTAGAGAAAATGACTAATTTTATTCTCTGATAAATAAAAGAGTAGATAAAATGGTTTCCACATGTCTAAGAGTTCAATGGGACATTGAATAAGCTCACACACTGCAGAGACCTGGAAGCCAAGCATGCTAGAACAAACAGCTCTTTGGAAGGAAGGTAAGAGCCATATAAAACAAGCCACAGCTAACGATGAACACCAATTTCTCATCTGAGCCACTGCAATTTCCATATAACAAGGGGTATAGAAGAACAGATCACATCTGTGTCTTAGACTAATAAAGAGAAGCTAGACTTTAAAAGGCAAAACTCAATGGTATGTGTTTCATTCCAAGAACTAAAAATCATTAGGCATTTAGCACTATCCTGCTTAAATGATAAAAGGATATCATGGAAAAAAAATAAGTTTTTTACGCTACCTTTATCTGTGCTCCCATTTATTTTAGGTAAGAAGTCATCAACTTGTATCCCTAGGATTAAGACAGGATATCATTGCCTGATTAAAGAAAGTATTAACTTTAAAACTGGCTTCAAGTGTAACTATGGTATTTCATAGTCCTACTCAAATTGGCTTTGTATAGAACACATAGAACACTGTATTGAGAAGAAGAGTTCAAGTTGCTATTCTTTATTAATTCGGGCTTATGAACCTTCCAAAGAACCTCAAAAGAAAGAGGATCCTACTACTGTTCAGTCATACCACCATCTAAGAGGCAGAAACCTCAAAGACTAAACAACGGTGCCCTCTGGTGGCAATCATGAATATTTTAAAAGGAGATTTTCTAAAAGCACAACCTTTGATTCTTAATATGTAAACTATCAAATGAAAGTAAACAGTGAAAAGTAAATGATGTGAAACGTGAACAAGCAAAGGCTTAATAAAAAACATCTTTAAGTAAGGCAACACCTACCTAAGCTGCTGCATTCTTTAAGAGTTTTCTCCTGGAAGTGTTCTAACCGTACTGTAAAAAACAGTCCAAGAAAAAGATATTTCACAGACAAAGAGAACAAAAATCAAATAAAACCAATTTCTGTACAGCTAGCTTACCTTGTAAAGCTGTTAGCCTTTCATTGGTGAAGTCATTGTCAGCCTGCAAAGCTTCTATTTTTGCCTGGAGCTCCTGTTCTTTTTCTTCCATCTCATCTATTTTATTTTGTAATTCTTTCTTCTCAGCCTGTCCCTTCTGCTGGATTTCCTCTTGTTTTCCCTCTGCTACCTGTTGAGTAGGGATCTCCAGTCACTTCACAAAACCTCACTTTGCTTTAAGTAGCCTAAGGCCAGGACTGACTTCACTTACTTACATTTCTAAGGAATATATTCAGAATTATAGAACATATTTATAAAGCTGATTTTCTACAGCAAATAGAGGCAGACTTGATGGCAAAAGTGAACTGCCACATGGCACTGAGAAGGGAAAAATTTAGGAGCAAACAAGCAGGCACAAGAGATAAACACACAGATAAAGAATCAAAATTAAATCTCCCATGGTTTTCAAATGGGAAATATATTACCCAAATTTACTATTAGTACAACTTCTAAAATGTAACGCTAATTTAAAATTATAAACTATTTATGTTTGGCTAAAAAGATGATGATACAAACTCTTCAAACACGTTTCTCTTGACAAGATCTCCCTAAGAACTACGGCAAGCACCCTCAGCCTTCTCTGACAGTTGAAGGTACTCCACTAAGGCCAGGCTCATTTTTCTCTTGTTTTAATTAATTTTTAAGTTAATACCACAAAGTACTGCATTTTACTGTGGCATTCTCCATACATATATGTCTTGACATTTATCCTCATTTGCATTGTCCCCCCTGATGACTCCTGACCCTCTGGCTGTTTGCTTTCCTCTTCTCACTGCTTCCATAGCATGTGCATTCTATTACCATCTCTTCCCTCACTCTCATGGCCCCCTTCGAGTTCCATGACCCACCAACAGATAATGAATTACATTTAATGGATTTTCAACAATTCGGTCACAAGGTTTTGAAGATTAACTAGATGTTATCATATGGTCTGATGCTTTATTCCAAATGTCCCAGGGGAGCAGCAGCTGAAGAGCAATTGAAGCTCAAACACATCCCCTTGTGTTTGCTGCAGCACTGAATACTCTGAGAAGACCTAAAAGTAAGGAGGTTTAAAAAGCATCTAACTACATTTTATTAATTCCTTTTTTAAAACTTTATTATCACTGTGTATGCATGTATGTATATATGTATGTATGTAAGCGTGTGATGCAGGTAGCTGCTTATGAAGATCACAGTACAACTATGTGGTGTCAATTCCATCCCCCTTTACATGGGTTCCTGGGAATAAACACAGGTTATCAGGCCTTTACCCTATGAGACATCTTACTCAGGTCTTGATTCTCTCTTTTTATAACTTATTATTACTGTGTGTGTCTCATTATGGCCTTTGATTGCCATTTTTAAATTTATCTACATCTACTACTACTACTAATTTATTATCATCATCATCATCATTGGGGGTATGGGGATGTGTCTGACAGCATGTCTGTGTATTTACACGTGTGCATTTGTGACACACATCTAAGTTCTGGTGCATTGGTGCCATGTCCCTCATGTGGAGATCAGAGGACAACTTTGGGGACTTTCTGTCCTTCCACCACGGTTCTATAACCAAACATAGGTCTTAAAACTTGCATGACAAGTGCCCACACTCTAAGACATCTCACCAATCCATTTCATATTGATTCTCATCTACTTCAAATGTACATTAGAAGATGCTGTTCTTTTCTATATCATGCCCATCTTGGTCTATGTGATGCTGAAGCAAACACTAAAAGATGACTATTGTGAAGCACTGACTATATTTCTATCCCAAGGAAGTAAGTATGTCTGTTTTAAAGGCTTTCAATTCTCAGTAATGGAGGGTGGACTAACAGAATACATTTTCTATTTTCATTGTCAATTCCCACTTTTCAATTTTACCAAATTTTACACATTAACAACTATTGAGTGATGCATAAACTTTTATGCTATTAGCATGTTAGTGACATGCTTTCAGGTAGATTAAATACAAACTGTGATGGTTTGAATAAGAATATCCCTCATAGGTTTGTATGTTTGAATATCACCTGGTAGTGCTATTTGGATAGGTCTAAGAAATATGGCTTTGCTGGAGAAAGTGTGTCACAGGAGATAGGCTCTGAGGTTTCATGTGCTCAGGCCAGCCCCAAGGACCTCTCAGCTTCCAGTTCTGGTTACCATGCCCACTTGCTGCAACACTTCCTCTCCATCCATGATGCTGATGTAATCTTACTTTCTGGAACCTTAAGCCCAAATAAACACTTCTTTCTATAAAATGTCTTGTGCATGGTGATTTATCAAAGCAGTAGAAAAGGAACTAATATACATACCTTTAGTTTATCAGATAAATCTTTAATTTCATTAACCGCTCCATTATATTTATTGGCTAATTCTCTTAGTTCTTCCTGAGTCCGTTCATTCATTTCTTTCAGGTGGGTACATTCATCTTCAGTATTACTCAGACTTCTCTGCAATTCAAGTTCACAGAGTAAATGGGTACTTACTTAAAAACGATCATAAATTCAATTTGTAAAAAAGTGTAGCTCTGGACTATTTTGCATCAACATTTGGACTAAACTTATATAAAACTAAATTAAAAGACAAAATAATTTCAGTTTATTTCAGGAACATATATACTAAAACACAACTAAGAATCTTTTTTTTTTTTAAATGTTGAGAAATGGGGACCTATTATTTATACTTTGAAAAGGTCAACAGGTATGACTTTTAGCAGCCTTGAGAATATTTTAAAACTACCAATCCCTTTTCTATTTGGTTAGGTCACTCAGACTGGCTTCATCAGATTCACTATGGAGTCCAGGCTAGCCTGAAACTTGTGAATCTCCTGCCTCAGACTCCCAAATGTTATGATCAAAAGTATACTCTATCATACTTATCTCTAAGTCAACAATTCTTAAAGTAACTTTAATACCACATAGCAATTCATCTAATGTGAAAATAGCAACACAGCTTGAAACTTTACATGTATGTCAAATTAATCAACAGTGAACATAAAGTCCATACTATGGAATGAGAGCATAATACAAACTATCCAGGTCCTCACACATGCTAATAAGCACATGCCCACTGAGCTAAACTCTCAGGTCCAAGAAATATATTTTGATTTTTCTTAAGACCTAGAAGACATCCCCTATAAACTCCTTAAGCACAAGATACAGTGCTATTCTAGAGCTGTAGCTTTCAACTCTGGGTCGTGACCCCTGGGGGGGGTGCACCTAAGACCATTGGAAAACATAGATATTTACATTACAATTCATAACAGTAGCAAAATTACAGTTATAAAGTAGCAAAGAAAATATTTTCATGAGTAACTGTATTAAGGGGCTGTCTGTCATGTTAGGAAGGTTGAGAACCACTGCTCTAGAGGACAGGTAAATTAAGTCCTCAGTAATCATCCTCCATTAAAAGACAGCAATCTCTGTGAGTTCAGGACCAGCCTGCTCTATATAGCAAGTTCCAAATTAAGAAGAGGTACATAGTTCAGTTCCCAGCATCCACATCAAATGGTTCAAAACTACCTATAATCCCAGGTCCAATGGACCTAAGCCTCGGACTTCTGTAGACAACATCCGTCACAAATATATACCCATGAATATACTACACACAGACACATGATTTTAAAAATAAATCTTTAAAAGCAATAACAACAAAAATGAAATACCTCAACTTCTGAAAGCTTTCTAACCACTTCAATTTTCTCCTGGAGAAGCCGCCTCAGGGACTCTTTGGCTGTTGTTTCATAGTTGTGTTTATCTTCTTGCAAAGCTATGAGCTCTTTCCGTAAACTATCTTCTGTCTGATTCTAAAATAAAAGATACTTGTATTACACCTAAGCTTGGTTTTTTTTTTTTAACTACTTATGCTTTGAAATAAACACATTACAATACTCTAAATTATATGTTAAGGTATTCCCCCAAAAAAATGTTAGCCTACTATTAACTAAATCTGTATTTCAAAGTTGTACCAGTAAATTATGCCTTCAGAAATTACGTTAATTCCAACAGGAAAGAGTTAAAGAAAAGAGTTAAAATTTCTCTCAGATGTTAAGATTAATTATTCATATTCTGTGATGCCACCATATTTCCATCTGTGAAGAAAAATCATTGCTATTAAAAGCACCAAACATTTTAGATCAATGGCTTAAAAAAAGTAGTAAGAGCATCAGGAGGAAAAAGGAAGACTCCAGGTCTGGAACAAGAAATGTGTAATATGAGCATGGTGCCTCCTATCTAGTATGGCTACAAGAAGCTATCAAAGTTTTAGCCAGAGAGCCAGCCTTTTAAAAGGTCTACTCAGACAAAACTCTAGATAATTTGATCATCAACAAAATCTACTACTATAGACAAAACACACCAAATATACTTAAATCTAACCAAGGGAGAAAGCATCTCATTGTGATACACTGCTAGAGAAAAAAACCAATTTAGTCTCTTTTATCTAGTAAATAATGGGGGTGGAACTCATGCTGGTTTTTTTTTTTTTTTTTTCTGTAGAAAATGTACTTCAAGGAAATAAAATGGTTCATGAGGGAAAATTTATCTTTGAAGAAGTAATCCAGTTAAGTAAATGAAGGAATGATAGAATTATATCACTGTGTTAAATATCTTTAATGAAAAAATAAACCCAGTGACGAATCACCAATGAATGACAAAGCCATTTAAAAAAAAAGCCATCTAGTCATTATGCTGTCTTTGTATTGATTGAAGAACAACACCATCCATGAAATGTTGTTGGCAAAGAAAAAAAAAAAAAAAAAAAAAAACAAGTACCACAAAACTAAACCAAACCAAATATCCATTTTATGCCCAGATAAAGAACTAAACAAAAAAAAAAAAAAAAAAAAAAAAGTTTCAGTAACAGCATAGACTGATAGCCGGGCAGTGGTAGCACAGGCCTTTAATTCCAGCACTCGGGAGGCAGAGACAGATGGATCTCTGTGAGTTCAAGGCCAGCCTGGTCTACAGAGGGAGTTCCACTCCAAAGCCACACAGAGCAACTCTATCTTGAAAAACAAAAACAAAACAGTATAGATTGAGTCACATTCCAGAAGGCAAATCACTCTTTAATAAATACCAACTACAATAGAGAAAGGAATTAGAACTGGACATGAGTATGTATTATACAATTCTTTCTACTTATAAGTATTCTTGAACATTTTTGTGACAAAGATATAAAGGAATTGTGGAATTATATAAAGGTCTCAGCATACACTCAAATAACAAAGAGGTGAAATTACAGAAGTGCATTCTTCCTTATATAGCCGAGATTGAATACCTACTTTGGAGCATGCCTGTAATTGGTTTCCCATAACTTCTAACCGTGACAAGAGTCTATCTTCATCTATTAAAGCCTGTTGAATAAAATTAAATATAAATAAAAACCCAGAGTAATAAAAGAAAGCATGTATAACAGATTCTATTGCCAACAAAAGAAAGAAAATTGGGGGGGGGGGAATCAATCAAGGTCTGCTACAACATGCTGTTTCAACATTTGTTTACTTTTACTTGCCAAAAATCTTGTTTTATTTCATTCAACACATAAAAAAAAAAACTTTTAAATTGTTTCTTAAATATAAAGTAAATGGAATACCTGCCAACTGGTATCTGAAGCCTCTTGGGTGATGGCTAATAACCGCTGAAGTGTAGCTAACTTCTGTTCCAACATCTGTTCCCGATGTAAGGCCTCCTAACATAAGTCACAAAAGACACTCTAATGAACTCAATCAGCAGGATGACTCTTATATAGAATAACAGTATACTTTAAATATATTCTCATATTGCACCCCAGATGTAGTTCATTATTACAGAACTGCAAGTACAAATGTGATAAACTTCTACCCACATGGAAAACAAGTTATTCATTTCCATTTTCTTTTCATTCATAATTTACTGAAAGAGTAAGTTTCAAAATACAGATTAGAAAAACTAATACACTGTTTCTGTTTCTGCTTATATTTCATAAATACACATATATGTTTATTAAATATTTACATATCTTAGAACAAATGTATTTCAAACTAAGGCAAAACAATCTAATCATCATCAAAGATAATGCTCTACGGCATGGCATCTGAAATAGTAATAGCGTTTAGCTTTTCAATTCTAAAATGTTATGTAAATATATGCACACATATTTAAAAAAGACTACTCACAGCTTATGACATTTTCAGGTGTTCTAATGCTCTCTCTGATTACATAAGAGCCCACTAAATGTTAGCTTGATGTAATTAAGGGGTCAAAGGAACAAATGAATATGGTGAAAGATATTGAAGAGCAAGACTGCTCTGTAGTTAACATGTGATAGCTGCTGACAGCATCCCCTTCACAGGCTGTGAAGGTGCAACGCTTACATCACTTAACTGCGGCTTTGGCACTTCATCTTCTGCCATTCCTGCAATTCCCAAAGGATACTTACTAGCATTCTATCTTTGAGCCACCTCAAATATATATAGCACTTAAGGTTTAATACATTAACTTACTGCTCTCCACATCCTTGAAAAACAATGACTAGGGAAAATCTAGCCTAATGTAGACTTAGAAGTACTCTGTTTTAATATAGACTAAGGAATCTAATAAAAACACCATCATTCATAATCCAAATTAAAATGGCTATTTGCCATATTTTAAGTTTCTGAAGCATTCCTAATATCCAGGAAGTAACAGATACAAAATATTTTACTGATAAGCAAAGCCACAAGCCAACCAAAGTTTTAGAAACTACTTCCACTAGATGGAGTCATTACACATTTTAAAAAATTCATTTCCATTAGTTTCTTAATTCTGAACCAAATTTCAACAAATGTAGTTCTCCTGAAAATGGTCTTTTAGATCTAAGGTATGAAATGCATCTATTTCAACTTCTATTCAAAGGGTTCACAGTTTACATTAAAATTTCAATAATTCAAGAAGGGTCATACAAGAAGAAGGAAAAGGAGGTGGGGATATTCCTCCCAAAGAGTTAGCAAATGTAAATGAATGTTCAAAGTACTGACAGAAGGGTAAGAAGGAATAAGAAATAGAGCATGAGAGGCCCATTCAATGATGATAAGCAACCATAGTACACAGAATCAGGCTAATCATTTAATCTATATGAACATTGTTATTTCTCATGTCAGAAATGAAGAGTCAACTAATCTTAACATTTTCTCCCACCTCTGAAAAGAAACCTTATAACACCTTCCCATTGAATGAAAATGACTGATGACATTCACATCGTATAATTTCCATTGTGGGCACTATTCTAAGTACTTTACTTATATTAATTCATACATCCTTCATAATGTGGATAGGTGGTGCTACTTTTATCAATTGCCTACATGAGGTAAATAAGGTCCAAAAGCTTTTTTAAAACTTTCTTAGGAAGCCAATGGATGGTAGCACAGGCCTTAAACCCCATCACCCAGGAAGCAGAGGCAGGCAGATTCAACAGTTTTAAGGACAACTAAAAGCCTACACAAATAAAACTATTAATTGAAGGTCAATAACAAAACTACCATTCCTAAATTTCTAAACTAAAGGTTATTTTTAAACCATGCTCCCTCATGGTAATTCCCCCTACCAACCCAAAGCCATAATCCTGCCCAAATAAAAGAAAAAAAAAAAAAACACTTCTCTGCTTTAGAATTGTATATCTTTTTAAATAACGAATTAAGTGCACCAGGAGGCCATTCCAAGGAGCTGCTCTGTGCCCTGGATCTAGAAATACAGTTCAAATGGGACTTTGGAGTCTGTCAAAACTACTCTAAACTCAGACTAGGAGCAAATCACACTGCATATGTGAAATTGTGTAAATTTTTAAATCTTCCTTCCCTGTAGTTATTCCTCTTGGAAAAACAAGAATGAGATAACTATATTCTTTATAAATAGCAGTAAAAACTATTACATAGATTAAATGAATCAATATAAGTAAAGTACTAGAATGGAGCATAGTCTATAATAAATGCTATCAAATTACATACTATTATCACATAGCCAAAACTTGAACAAGTTTAATTTTATTTAAAAATCACCTATGATTAAAGAATTACTTTGGCTAGTAGGTGGTGACACACGCCTTTAGTCCAGAGGCAAGTGGATCTCTTTGAGTTCAAGGCCAGCCTGGGCTACAGAGCTAGTTCCAGGACAGCTAGGGTTGAGACACAGAGAAACCCTGTCTCAAAAAACAAAAACAAAAAACAAAAGAGTTCCTTTGGAAACTCCTTGTACTGGTAGAAAAAATAATTTCTCTTGCATACTAACTTCTCTAGACCCAACAATCCTGACTCCTTTTTCTTCTTGAGATCTATTTTTTAAGCCTTCATTCTTCCTTTAAAAGATATTTCTGGTGCACTTGTTTCCAGCTAATATTTCTGATTCTGTATTTGCAAACTGGCAAAATAAAATCTAAGTTACTTTTAAAGACTAAGGATTCTCAAGATTTACTTTTACCTGTAGATACTGAGAAAGTTGGAAAAGTTCCTGAGAGTACATACTTGGAGTGTTAGCAGCAACCTAGAAATAAAACAACATAATATCAATAATCACAGAAAACATTACATTAAAAAGGCTGCAGGGTGGAGGTGGTGCACACCTTTAATCTCAACACCCAGGAGGCAAAGACAGGCCTACAGAGTGAGTTCCAGGACCATCTCCAAGGCTAAACAGAGAAACTATGTACTGCAAAACCATAGATGGATGGATGGATGGACAAGATAGATAAGCAAGCCATTAAGAACCAATAAAATGGCTCAGTAAGTAAAGGTCCCACTTGTCAAGCCTGACAACTTCAGTTTAATCCCCTGCTGGATAGTTTTATGGCACAGGCTGTCATCTGAGAGGAAGGAACCTCAGTTAAGAAAATGCCTCCTCCATAAGATCAAGCTGCAGACAAGCCTGTAGAGCATTTTAGTGATCAATGGCAGAGGGCCCAGCCCTTGGTGGGTGGTATCATCTTTGTTGGACTGGTGATCCTGGGTTCCATAAGAAAGTAGGTTGAGCAACCCATGGAAAGCAAGCGAGTAAGCAGCACTCCTCTTCTTTGGCTCCTACTCTAGGTTCCTGCCCTGCTTGAGTTACTGTCCTGACTTCCTTCAAAAGTCCCATTTGAACTGTATTTCTAGATCCACTGATTTGGAAGTGTAAGACAAATAATCCCTTCCTTCTCCGAGTTGCTTTTGGTAACAGTGCTTATCACAGCAATGGTAACCTTCAGTAGGACAATCTCCAATACCCACATGGTAAAAGGAGAGAAACAATTCCTGCAAGTTGTCCTCATCTCCACATGTACAAGGAGAATGCAAACAAAAATAAAAATGCACTTAAAGAATTAAAAACAAACCAATTCCATGAAATGTGTACTTCCCTAAATATATATATATAATGTTTTTAATTGATCTAGTCTTAATTCTCAATTACTATGTAAATTAGTTCTCAAAATATTTCTATTGTATGTCTACAATTATATAGATAGTATTACACTAATTACTTCAATTTATAAACAAGACGATGACGCAAGCATTACTTGTGAAACTTTCCTTGGTAAGTCAAATCACAAGCCTTTTCATAACAGAGAAATAACTCCTAATCAAAACAGTCATTATATTTTTCCTATAGATTCATCATCAATTACTTCATTAATATATCAACATGTCAATTCACTTAGAAATAACAATCTTCAAAATGTTACTTGGAAGCATGTGTCAGGATAGAGGATGACATGAAACCTCACTATTTACTTACTGAAAAACAAAAATTAAAATAAAAAATATTCTATCATTTTGTCCAACAGCCAGATACAATGAAAAACTTATTATTGTATGTAAATTTTAAGAAAAAGATGGAAAATAATGTTCAGAAACTACAAGTCAGCCTAACTGCTCAGAACCCAAAAGCATCAGAATTTGCTTCAATGGGAGCTTTTCAGGACTATAGGATACAGAACCATGTCACTAAAAAAGAAAACAAAGAACACAATGAGTTGCTGTGGTATTTACCCATATCCTGAACACTAATAAGCACTACAAGTATGCATACTTATCCTTTTTCATTGTTTAAAATGGGTCTTGTTACACAGCCCTTCCTGGCCAGGTACTATGTTCCCCAGGGTTGGCTTTGAATTCACAGCTATTCTCCTATCCTAGCCTCCCAAGCTCTAGAAATACAGGTATACACTACACTCTTCCAATTTATTAATTATGTTATGTAATCACTCCTTACTAAGCTCAGAAAGTATGTTTTCTAATATTCAGACTAAAAGAATTAGTATTTTTCTTTTGAAGATCTAAATCAACAAAATCATTTACTTCTAAAACAGTTTTTGGTATCAGTGAAGTTGATGATAAATTACTTTCATTTATAAAACAAGAATCTAAGAAACAAGGTCAGTTTAAAGTAGGTAACCGCTGCGAATCTAAGAAAAAACTGTGAAATGTTTGTCCTCACATTTTAGGAGAGAGAGAGAGACAGAGAGAGAGAGAGAGAGAGAGAGAGAGAGAGAGAGAGAGAGAGAGAGAGAGAGAGAGAGAGAACCCCGCAGGCACTGTCCCAGATCCTAGGACTTGGGAGATGGAGGCAAGAAGATCCAGAAGTAAACTTGGGAGATGGAAGCAAGAAGATCCAGAAGTAAACAAACCACATCTTTAGCTGCACAGTGAGTTCCTAGCCACCCAGGGCTATGTGAAAGCCTGTCTAAAAATCAAAGAAGAACAAAACTCCCAATATTCACAGTAATGTCAAATAGAGAAAGAAAAAAGTCTGTTTCTGCTCTTTGATCACACAGTTTCTTATTTAGCAATGATACCTATAGTTTCAATGCACCAATACTCCTAAACAAAAGAAAAATATTCTAGCAATGAATTACTGCAATTTCTGATCAGATGGTATCAAAACTGATGTTTAGTGGCATTAAAAGAGTAATTTCCGTAAGTTCTTATTTCAGAGCCTCTCTGCTGTATGGACAAATACTAAGTGAACTTGGATAGAAAGCTTTGGGAAATTCCTAGACAGAACTGTACTTCAGAATAAAAGGTAATAGTTAACATTATTTACCCCTGGCTAGGCACTAAACCAGGTACATTTAGTTGGCTCAGTCAATGGTTTACCTGGGCTACAAAAGCTTTTCCCAAAGAAACATCCATTCCAAATTCTCTACACAGTGAAGGTTATATTAACTACACAGCCATATTTACTTTACTATAAAAACAGATTTTTTTTAAAGGTAAAACATATTATATAAAAACACCAGTGAAATAATATTTCAGAGTTTGGAAAACAATCATTCACTACTTACTTTGTCAACAGGACTTGGTAATGGAGCATGGATGACACTGAAAAGTAAAATTTAGAATTTTTATCTAATTTCCTGAGAATGGAGGAAATGGTACTAGAGCACCAGAATATCTTGTCATAAAATTCATGCATTTGCTCTCAAATAATTAAAAGAACGTAAACTATCTTTCATCCCTTCATAAACAATGACATTTCTAAAAAAAAAAAAATGTAAACTTACATTTTACTCATTATTTTTCTTAAAACGAATTTCAACTCCAAAATGTATTTATTAAACATCTTTTGAGGACCCACTATTTACTGAGCGCTGTGATGACTCCCTTATTTTTACTATTTCAATACACTGAAGTACCTTTTAAATCATGCATTTTATTTGTAACATGTAAGTTACCAATAAATAAACAAATACTCCTGTGTAGAAATCTTTAGTAAGTAAGTAAAAGTTCAGTTGGAAAGAAAGATTATAATTTGGAAAGTCATTCTGGGGCAGAACAACTTTAGCTGTCAAAACAGTGACAACTATTCTTCACTAGCCATCTTGGGTCGAAGTCAACGTTTGCATGTGTGTACAGTAGAGCAAACACAACAGGTCATTAACTAGCACTAATTTCTTTTGGGGCCTGATAAAGAACTCTTGATAGAAAAGCAGCAGCAGTTAAGCACACAGGCTAAGTATACCAACTAGACCAAATTGGCTATACTTACCAGCTAAAAACTAATCAAGATGGCCCCCACTTATAAAGGGGCCATATATAGCGTTCTTGTAAGTATTAAATGTGTTGATATAAACAAGTAGCTTCAAACAATGCCTTGGAATAGTAACCAACCAATTACTATCTTCTACTCCCATGAGAAATGTGCAGCTGAGGAAGGCAGAGTGCCTGTTTTACAAAGCCCTTTAAGATACTGTATGTGTCTGGAACACAGGTAGAGGGATGTAGAGCAAGGTTGTCACCTATGTCCCCTACACTTCACATCTTAGAAACTAAGCCAGTGATAACCAGATGGAAGGCTGATTGGGTAAAGTTCCTAGACTCAATTAGTAAAGCTTGGGACTCAGCTCAGTTCATAACCCTGAGCATGACAGTGGAGGGTTAAGTACTAGTACCTACTTTCAAAACACCAGTATACCTTGCACAGACTTCAATGAACATGTATAAATTTTTACTGTATTTATTTGATTACATGTCTGTGACTCAGGAATGATGATCAATTCACCCCTGCATCCACAGAGCCAACCTCAAGTCTTAACAAACTTGATACTTAGTGAAAGTTGAAACTACAGTAATTCTTTTTCATTCTATAAACTAAAATGAAAGTTTTAAATATAAGTCTTTTTGACTGTACAAGCAATATATACTGAAAATGGGAATTATGTAACATAAAAAAATAAACTAAAATTAATCCTAGCACCCAGAGATAACCATTTTTTTGTATATATCCTTTTTTCCTCTGCTAATATTAAGGACATTAACTCAAAAACCCTAAATGGAAACAAATAGAACTTTTAAAATCTGGTTTTGTTGGGGTTTTTTGATTGGTTGGTTGGTTTTATTGGTGTGTGTGTATGTGTGTGTGTGTGTGTGCTTTTAGTGACCCAAGAAGAAATTCTTCTATCCCCATGAAACCTGGTTAGCAAACAAATGGCTAAAAAAGTCAAATAACACATTCTACAAATATATATTTTCTTACAGAAACTATATTGGATATAGGTGTATTTTATCTGGATTGTTAAAAACTTTTTGTGTATATGTATATAAAAAGTGTAACAAGGCAATGTTAGAAAATAGGAACTGTTATTTAATGTTGGGGTTGTAAAGTTATTGGCAACTTCTATTTCTGTTGTTAGAAAATTATAAAATAGAAAAATAAGAAACAATCAGAACTACCTATTGAAGATCTTAAAAACCCTATACACTATTTACACAGTGGACTTGGCATTCTTGATGCCATTTAAACTGATTCAGCAAGCCCTGTTCCAATGAGATCCTGTGCAAAACCAAGGAGCACAGCTCCTGAGGATTGACATCTGAGGTTATTCTCTGCTCCACATGCACACATGCAGACAATACACAGAGAGAGAGAGAGAGAGAGAGAGAGAATACACACACACAAAACAAATATTCACACACATAGACAGTGTACACACACACAAAACAAACATTTACACACATAGTCAGACAATACACACACTCACACAACAAACATTCACACACATAGTCCCTAAAAAAAGGAAAGAGAGCTGGGAAGAAAATAAAAAATAGTTAAAGGGATTTGGGGAAATGGGGGAATCTACTGAAAAGTCTTCAAAAATTTTTACATATGGCTGATTAGATAGTCCATTAGGTAAAACATTTGTCAGGTAAGTGTGAGAGCTTGAGTTTGAGTACCCAGAACACATGTAAGCCAAGAAGTGCATGTGTGAAACCCCAACACTCTTTCAGCAAATTAGGAAACGGTAACTGAAGAATTCCCAGGATCTTGGAGGACAGCTAGCCTAGGGCACATGGTGACAAACACAAAACACTGCCTCTAACAAGCTGGAAAGCAAGCACCAACACCAGTGCTGTCCTCTGACCTACACACGCACCATGGGATGCATACATGAATACACACACACACACACACAGAGAGAGAGAGAGAGAGAGAGAGAGAGAGAGAGAGAGAGAGAGAGAGAGAGAGAGGATACACATATTCTACTAGATGGAACCTAAGAACACAAAAGACTTACATGGCTGCTCAAACCTTTTAACTTTATCAAAAGTGACCTCAAATCAACAGCAGGCAAACACTAGTCTTTAAAAAGATGTAGGTCATTGATGGATTGATTAGTTGTTCTATGACTGAAAGTTCAATTCTTAACCCATAAAGGCTTTGTTATGTTGAAGTTCTTTAAGTTTATACCACAATTTCAATCAATTACATTTTAATAAACCATAATTAAAATAATATTTTAAATTTCAAATGTGACAGGGAAGACTATTTATTACAGTAAAGGGACCCTCACTCTGCTTTATCTTCCTCTCTTTCCCACTCACTATTCAGCTTTTCCTTAAACTCTAGGTATTTTGGTATAGTCAAAACAATGTAAACCATTAGTAAAAAACAGATTGTGATAACAGGAAGCTCCTTTGAAGAAAGGAATTAAGCATTTAGCATATTCAAGGCTTTCCCTAAACAAAAACAAACAAAAAGCATTAATATTTAAATAATGCCAGCACCTTCCCTATTTCACAATGAAAACCTGTAAAAAGTACAGGATGTACTTAAATTTACATTTTAAACTCTATACTTCATGACAGGATTTGATACTGCTTCACATAAAACATAAAATACTACTCTGGGGGAAATTCTTTTTAACTCCCCTTAAAAAAAAAATTACTAATTATATAGACATCTTCAAGTTCTGGAAGAATATGACATTTGACATTAATTCCATAGGCAATCAAAGTACAGAAAGATCTAAATTAAGTATACACCAAAAGGAACACAGTTATCATTCTCCTATAACTAAAATATCCTAAATATTGCAAAAGCAACTAACGATCTATTCAAATATGCACTGTAAAGTTAAATTTGGAAATAAAACCACCTTTACCTCTGATACATTATTATTATTAGATTTTTTAAATAATATAAAGTACTTGAAACTAAAGTATAAGCCAAAAAGTACTGTATCAATTTTCTAATAGTGGTTTTAACGGTGTATCATCACTAAGAATATTACCAACTAAGATTAATTAATCCAAGACTTCACAGCACTAAGTTATACTCACTCTGAGCGGAGCCGGGCTTCCATACCATCTGGTAGAAAAAGTTTTATTGTGGAAACAATACACCCATGGGTAACTGGTTAAAACAAATAGAATAATTGTTTAAAAATATGAAACTTGGTGGGTCTCATAACTAAACTTGTATTTCATTCTTAAAAATAGTAATTTCTAGGAAAGTAAATAAATCTAGTGGTTTAACAACGGTACGTACTACCTTAGAAAAACTCAATTCCTTAACAGACAATGAGAAGTCAACTGTCCAGTATGCAGAACCAGTAAGAGTAGAAAAGGATAAGACAGTTTTGTCCCAGTTTGCTGACATCACACCTAGTCTACTACCCTTTAAAAAGTAGCCCTTATTCTTCATTCTCCTGTCTCCAAACTGTCTCACAACCACACCTCAGAGAACTTTAGTGTCCTTTATGGACAGTTTAGAACATCCAGACTGCTGACAAGTAAGGGTATATCTCTGATTCCTCCAGTATACAGCTGATAGGATTCACACAGGATGCTCTCCAGTACAGCTTTCATTTGGTTGTTCCTCCATCCCCCATACCTTCTGATAAAGCCACAGCAGTCTCTCTGTATACAACTCATAAGCTTCTTCTCACTCCTTTTGCTACTGATGATTTGACAGACAAATCTCCCACATAAATAACTGTACAGATCATTGTATCTTTCATAGAAAAAAATACTTCCTAATTTAAAGATTGATAGTTTTGATTTCTCTGTTCTTAGAATACTCAAAAATCAATAGTTCAACAAATTTGCTTATTAAACTGACTTAAAGCTGATGTGGGCAGACAAAAACACAATGTATAATTGATTTTAAGAGTAGTGCTTACTGTAGCTGTATACACCTGTCAAAACAGTGATTGAGTCTTACAAGAAAACTGGCATATATTTATCTATACTTCAATAAACTATTTTAATAATAATTATTGTTTTAGGGATATAATATGTTGGACAATTACAACCATAGTATCAAGATGATAACACAAAGTAATGTGGATGTCACCTGGAAATACATTAAATTTAAGGAATTTAGCACAGTTTGGCCAATATTTGTTTTTATTAACAACTATATTTAAAAAGTGCTAACACAGACAAAGAACTATCTACTGGCAGTCTCCTCATTTTTGCCTGGAATAGCTACCACTGCCATGAATCATTTGGCTTCTTCCTTCCTTTCTAGCTGCATCCTCTAAGCTGCTGCCACTAATCTCTTATACACAAGCAGGTTATATGCAATCTCCAAACATCTTACTGTTTATGATTTTTACACATCCTATCTGTGGTGGTGGCCTTTATCTCCTTGATAACACAACCAAATGCTTTTTTTATTATTATTATTTTATTTTATTCCATTAAGCAGTACTCCTCATGGACTCTGCATCAGTTCCTGCCTCCAGTTTCCTACCTTGAATTCCTACCCTGATTTCCCTGCATAATGAACTACAAGTTGTCAGCTGGAATAAGTCCTTCTCCCTGAGTTGCTTTGGTCATGGTGTTTTATCAGTATCACGACAATAGAAGCCTCAAGACAATTGTTAAATGTTCTTAATCACTGAACCATCTCTCCAGGGGACTGTGCTAGAGCTCTCACTTCTCAACTGGGTTAAGAGTTTCAGCACCTCCTTTCCCTCCCATGATGTGTTAGTTTTCCCTCAGGTCCTATCTCACTCTCATGCCCAGACCTAAAGATTTTCGCCCAACCTCTCTCTCTCTCTCTCTCTCTCTCTCTCTCTCTCTCTCTCTCTCTCTCTCTCTCTCTCTCTCTCTCTCTCTCTTCCCATAGAACCACCCTCCATCCTCAGATCTTTATCCCAAAATTTCTTTATCTCAAGCCTTATGCTCCAACTTCCTTTTCTCCCAGAACCACTCACTTAGTCCTTAGACTATTGCTGCCAACTGTGCCCCCTCACTCAAAACCGCATCTCATCTATTGATTCTTAACTTCTTCTTCTGATCCTAAGTGCTGCTTGCTACAAAGGGGTCAAATAAAGCATAATGTTCCCATATTCTTTCTAGCAGTCAGATCGCCAGTGCTTAGATCCTGACCCAGTGACTTGTCACAATTATACAATTAACACCTAACTCTTCATGGCTCCTAGCATTTCATCCCAAATAGATAGTCACAGAAAAGGTAGGTATTATAAAATTTGTGATGTCAAAGTGGTGATATTTTGCTTATGATCTAACGAAATACAGCTTGGCTGAAGATCAGAGTGTAAAGCTGGCCACACTAGTTAGCCACAGAGGCCAGGCAATGGTGGTACATTTTTAATCCCAGCATTCGGGAGACAGAGGCAGATAGATCTCTGTTAGTTCAAGGCCACCCTGTACTACAAGAAATTGATCCAGTCTAAAAGAGAAACAGAGATCACACAAAGGTGATCTCAGCAGTTGGGAACCCACACCTTTAATCCCAGCAGAGAGGAATATAAGGCAGGAGGAGACAGGAGCTCAGTGCAGTCTGAGGAGCAGTAGAGTCTGTGGTTCAGTGGAGACAGATAGAGTCTGAAGAAAGGATCACCCTTTCAGTCTAATCACTATAGGGGTAAGAACTCTCTAGGGGGCTGGCTGCTTTGCTTTTCTGATCTTCAGCTTTAACCTCAATATCTGTCTCTGGTTTTTACTATTAAAACCAATTAGAATTCGTGCTATAAATTACCACTAATTAAATGCATAAGTTTTTCAAAACAAAAAAATGTGGAAGTGGTAAAAGCTGTAAAGGTATTTTGGAAGAGGAAGGGCATGAACAGGGACAAAAGATAATTAGTGAATATATTTCATATATGTGTATGAAACATAATGTCATAATGAAACACATTATTATGTCTAATTAAAATATGCTAACAAAAAACTTTTTATAAACTTACAACTAAATGGAAAACACGCTAACAAAAAACTTTTTATAAACTTACAACTAAATGGAAAATACACAGATGACTTATAGAAGAAAACTGCAGTACCAGACACAATGTGTGATATATCATATCAGGAATTTATTATTCGGCTAGATTAAAGTTCAGCAAATAGACTGATACCAAATCAACAAAGTGAACCAAGGGCTAATATTGCCTAGGCAGGGAAGTCCATGTCTGATTAAGTACAGCCAACCCTTCTGTGAAAAGATTCCACAGACAATACAAAACTTAGTAATCTTTTGAATTTGCAACAGGTTAAAAAAAAAAGGGGGGGGGGAGACTGGGAGTCAAATGACTCTGTGAAAACTAGGTTAAAATAAGTTTCAAATGCTTGTATGTGTATTAATTCTGAGCTTTATTTGGGGATGAGGAGACAAAAAGACAAAAAAGGGCAATTGCCTTGCTTACATGCAAGGCCATATGTTTAATTCTCAGGACAGAAACAAAAACTTAAAGGGCATTTATACAGGAGGAAGATACAAATTCTTACTATACTTCAAACTTGAGGATTAAATAGTAAAGCATATATATAATTTAAATAGTTTATCTAGAAAGGAAAGGGAGCATCAGAACATTGCCACATTAAACACACACAGATATTCTAAACCACATACAAATTTCATCAGTATATTCTAAAAACATAAAGAACAGGTATGTTCAAAAAGAGGCAACAAAAGACTTATAGAAGACCTATTTACAATGACTCCATAGATATAGACTACTAAAAATTACAGTAACACTAAGAGATGTTACAGGCCATTTATCTTGGTTTTGAGATCTATTTACTTTGTGGTATGCATTCAGCCTCTTTTAGCCTCTTTACACAAATGCCACTTAGGGGACCCATGTTCAGTTTGATTGGTTTAAAAGCTTTTGGAAGCCCTGGAATGGGAAAGAGAAACACTGGGGGGGGGGGGGCGGAGATAATATTATATCTGGCTCTTCCTCCAACCCAGTGCTAGTCTATACTTAGCAGTAGCCTGAAGGATCTCGAGAAGACAGGCAACCACAGGAAGGACAACCACAGAATCATTAAAAACCTAAGAAATATTAAAAAAAAAAAAAAAACAAGATCTGAGTCAGGCATTAATTGTTTTTTCACTTAAAATAAAATAATTATTAAGGACTTTTTATCTTTAAATTTTTGACTTTCTAAGGTTTCTACTTCTTAGGCTAAGAGTTGGAAAAGCAGAGAAAGATAGGTGAATCAACAGTGTTTTTGTTCTAAAATTAAATTAATATTCTATCATACTGTTTTCTCTTGAAAACTGTACTTGAGTCATCACAAAACTTTCAACCTTCAACTACTTCTTTCAATAATTATGTGTTTTAATTAAGTGCATAGGTGTTTATCTGTGTGTGGACATGTACACTTGAGTGCAGGTGCCTGAGGAGTCCCAAAGAGGATGTTAGATATCCTGGAGCTGAAGTCAACCTGTGACTGAGCACCTGATGTAGACACTGAAGTCTGGTTCTCTTTAAGAGCAATACATGACCAAATCCCCCAGGGACCTGGGGGCAGACCAACCCATCAGGCATCTGCCACCATTGCAATCTCAGACACACCTGCACCCACCAGGAGAGGTGAATGGGGGCCTTCTCTGGGCCACCTTCCCCTACCACTACTTGGAGTCTCCTGACACACAGTAGTCCTGTCCCACCCACCAAATCCCCCAGACACCTGGGGGCAGAACAAAACATCCAGCAACAGCAGCCACTGAAGTCTTGGACCTGCCTGCACCCACTGGAGGGAGAGAGAGAAGCCACCTGCACTCATGGGAAGGAGGGATAGGAAGACAACAGTATAAGATCACATCCACCAGAGTAAAAGGATTCTATACCACCAAGACCTGAACATCCCAAACCAGATGAAGCAGAAGAGAATGACCTTAAAAACAATTTTATGAAGATGACAGAGACCCTCAAAGAGGAAATGAGAAAATCCCTTACAGTGATGGAAGAAAAAAAAAAAAACAAAAAAAACAAACAAACAAAAAAAAATGCAAGAAATGGAGGAAAAGACAAATCAAAAAATACAAGAAAAAAAAATCTCTTACAGAAAGCAAGGAAAGCCAAGGGGGCGGGGGGGGGGGGGGGAAGACAATCAAACAGGGGCTGGAGAGCAGTGGCTGCTCTTCCAGAGGTC